CTGCGCCCGAGCGGCTCCTTGGGGCGGCCGAGCGAGTAGGAGACTCCAGCAGGTCGAGGCAGGCACGGAGAGGCGGGTGCCAGTGTGTTTTGGCGTCATCGGGTGTAAGCGAGGCACACAGCCTGAAATTTAGTTTCCAGAGGCATCTGCAGCATCTTCGGAACTTAATACGACCCACCGCGCCTAATCCTCGGTGTGTTTGTCGTCTCACGAGGAGTTTCGGAGAGGCGCGGGTGGCCATTTTTCGGAGTGGGAGTAGAAAAGTGCCTCTCCTCAAATCCTCCTGACGCTAGTGCAGCAGTAAATGGATTTCAGACCTCTGAGGAGACTCTGGGCTGCTCTTACTCTGGGAACTCATTCATGAATTACACTTCCCTGCACAGAAAGCCGCCTGATTGCCGGCATGGCTTCTTGGAAGTGTCAGTTCTATTGCGGGAAGGTGTGTATGTGCTAGGGAGGTTTATAGATGTATCTCTGAATATAGCACTGTGCAACACCAATTAAAGTAATTCACAGTGATTTTTTTTTTTTGTCTGATCCAACTGTTCCTGCCAACTTGACACTCTTCCTTAAACAAATCAAAACCTGACAAAACCAAATCCTCTTAATTACAACCTCGGTACTTCTGGTTCTGATGCTTAGCTATAATTCACAGTCCCTATTGCAATGAAGATGATAGCAGGTACTTAAGAGATCAGTGTGCATTTGATCTAGGCCTCTTTGTGACTTTGTTAGTACTGTGCCCTTGGAAAGGGCATTTCTGTGCCTTGTGGCTCTTCTGTACATGTCTGGAAGAAACCTTGTGGTGGGCAGAGAACAGGTCCAGGGGTCAGCTATGGGAATGCTGCTATCATGAAGAGATGGAACCTTTTCAGGTACTTCTTTGGTTTTGTTTGTAGCACACTTGGATATAAACACTAGTGTTTCTAGTCAGAGCCAGAGTAGTTCGCTTAAACGTTTATGTTAGAGCAGTGCTGCTGTTTTGCAGAATGTGAATTGGTTGTATTTGTTTTCCTACATAGTGGGAGGTGTGCTTTGAGCAGTAAGTTGATGCTAACTTTTGAATACTAACAACTAATACTCTTCCTAAATAAATCCTTCTCAGCTTCTGAACGGCTCTTGCTATGAGGTTTCTGTGTGAGTTTCCATCTCGGCGGTTATTGCTCAGTTGAAACTGGGCTGCTCGCAGTGCATCTGCGTACCTGGAGGATGATGATGTGGGTATAAAAATGAGGCTTTAAAATGCATTTCTGTATAATGTCTCAAGGTTTATACAGAGATAATTCAACAGATGGTCCTATTTAATATCTTGTTGCTCAGTTGTTGTTAGGTATAGTGTGAAAGTCTGTTTCTGTAAAATACTATGACTTTCTAATGATTCAAGATTTAGAAGACAGAGTAAAAAAGCATTAGTTTGAGTTTAGAGGCTTTACTGCTTATTAGTAAACTGCAAATTTATTTAAGTAGTGGAAGTGGCAGTTCACTTGTGCCCGAAACTGCGAGCATTAATCTCACCAGAGAGATCGTTTCAACAAAACCTCACTTGTGGGCTTTGTAGTCTCAGAGATAAGGGCTGCACAAAGTGTTGTAACGCCATCAGACCTTGGTCCTTGGAGTCAGAATCTTGATCTGCTCAACCAATAACTTGATAAGACTTTTAAAAAATAACCTTTTCCTTTAGCCAGTTCCATTCACTTTTTTTTTTTCTGCCAGACTGCAGCATGATAACAGTTGTCAGCTTTTAACTCTAAGAATTTATATTTCTTCATATGTTGTGGAAAAAGGAAAACTGTAACGACGAAGGGCTTCTAGTAAGTCTGTTGAATAAAAAGTAGACAGAAACAATCTTAAAAACATAGTGTGTGCCTCATTGTACGTTCCCTGATATTCTAGAGAACTAAAATAATGTGAACGAGAGAGGAAATGTGGCACAGAAATCATTCATCACCAGTAAAATAGGTGCTCTGCATTCATTAGATGCACACACCATAGCACTGTATCCTCTGGTGTACACGTGTGGAGCTGCTCTGGGCTGAGGAAGGGAATGGTAATGCCAGAAGTCCCTGGGATGGATTGCCCATAGCTGTTTTCTGTAGAGGGTTAACACTGGCAGAATCCAGATTGTACATGAAGGCAGGCAGTGAATGCAGAGCCAGGCTCTTGAGGTGTGTCGGATGTGTATCATGCCTGAATACCATAGAGTGCCAGGAGAAGACAAAGTGAATAGAAGGGCTGCACTGGAAAGAAAACGATATGATTTCTGGGATAGATGTTGATATTATATACTTCACATGCTTTATTAAGGTTAGATAATGTTTTGCATGTTTGCTCTTCCCTGCTGTTGAAATGTAGGAACGATCTAACTAGGTATGCAGGTTCTGATTGTGTGTAGCAGATGGGGGGTGAGAGGCATTTGTGCCCCGCTTTCCAAGTACTTTCTCCAATCTATTAGTGTCACTTTTGATTTTTACAACTGATGAGTTCAATCAAGACAAAATGGTTTTAGAGATGTTGGGTTTCTTCTCGTTCTTCTCATTTGGTGGCAGCATGCTGTAGGTCCCAGTAGCTGATTCTTTAGATGAGGTTGCTAGTTTTAATCTTATGTTGATTTCCAATGAAAATGATCTAAATACAACCTTCAAATTCATTTGTCTACTTGCTGAGTAAATTCCTGTATCCTGTTTGAGTCTGGAAAATCAGTCTCTCCTCAATCGTGAAATGCCTGTGCAGTTTTGCCACTGTGCTTAAGCTTGTTTGTGCCTGTGATCTTTTCATACTTCTACATGGAACGGGAGGTCTTAATCCGTACCCTTCTTAACACAGTCCTTATTGGGTTAAGTTTTGACCTTCTTCCTTCACTACCTCTTCTGTGCCCTAACAGACCCCATATCAGCTAGGGGAAGCTGTCAGCAATATGGGGAGACCTGGGCACATCAAGAACCAAATGGGGCCTGTTCCTCAGCCCATTCCCAGGCCTACCACCAGAAGGATGCAGTTCCATCAACTAATTGCCCTAGCGCGAAATATGACAGGACACACTATCTGTGGCCTCCGCTAATGGCAGAGGCTGCAGGGAAACCCATCCTTTGCTGCGGCTGCTACGCTGAAGGACGGTCCTCAGGTAGGTGAGTCATAGCTATTGACCTGTAAGTTAGGTGAGTCTCTGAAGCATTTTTGAAACTTAACACATCTGTTTGTGCTATAGTCACAAAAGCTGTAGGTGGGGAGAGGTCTGTGACGGGATAGCTTGGAAAGTGTCCTGCCATCACATTGTCGCCTGTCTTACCTGAGTGTTTATGTCTGGATTCTTAGAGCTCCCAGATGCTGAGCACTAGCACTCAGTTTAAACAGTTTAGCTTATTAATAAACACTGAGATTCTTCTGTTTGTTTTAGTGCATCAGTCAGAAGACAGAGCTCTGTGAGCTTGTGATGAAGGATGTCTGTGAAGCTGCAAGCTTGAGTTTAAATTAGATGGGTTTTGCACAGGAGAAGCTGGGGGGAAGGCTATAAAACTGAATCTTGATGGAATTGTTCTCAGAAGATATTCTGAGAACTGTTATGATTTAGACCATGATCTGTACCTTGCTAACTATCTTAAAATTTAGTCAAAGTATCACTAAGTTGCTCCTTTGAAGACAGCTGCAAGACTTTCTCCCCCTTTTCCTTCTTCATTAAAGTCTTTTTCTTTTTTTTTTTTTTCCTTCCCTTTCTGATCTTGGAAGTGCAGTCTCATGTTTTCCCAGGAAGAGGTTTGAAACAAAGTTTTTAAAATTCAACTTGTGTTTCTTGTAAGCATGTCAGCCAGGCCAGATGGAGATGATACATGTGGACTTGAATAGAAATATTGTATTTTTCTTCCCCGTAGTTACAGAAACACCGAAGTAGCAAATAGCCCAATTCATTTTAAGTGTAATAGTTCTGCTTTCCTGTTCGTGGAAGTGGTGCCCCATAATCAAGGCTTAGTGTTGTTGGCAACAGACAGTCAAATCCTCCTCCGTGTTGCTCATTTCTAGTATGGGGGAGATGAAAGTGTAAAAACCTTACTGGCAATGTGGAGTATAATTTAATGTCTCTGACCTTCTATAGCAATTTGCCTTTATAAAAGACTGGTATTAGAAAGAAGATGTAACTTCTTTCTTAAGGTGCTTATATTCGGGTTTTTTACCTTTGGTTTCCAGCTTATGATGCAAAAGGATTCATGAAAGCACTTCTAAGCAGTGCAGCAAGCCCAGTAACAAGGAGGAAAAAGATTAAAGGGTTTGACTTGCTTCGATAAGAAATATTAAACTTAGCGTGTTTGCTGCATCTTTATTTCTTCTAAGGGTGCTGTTGTTCTTATCTATGCTGGGGTAAAATATTCTTGAACCCAGATGTAACCATTTTCCATTAACAATACTAACACAATGGCCTCTAAGAAATCTCAAGTTTGGTAGTGAGAGAATTCATAACGTTCCCATATTTTGTTGCAAAGACGGGAAAATAATTCCTGTTTTCCCATCTTTGTGCACGGATACATAAAATATATATACAATATATATTTTATACTTATATGTGTATATATACACACTATATATTTTTGTGTATATATAAAATATATATTTTAAATATATAATGTATGTACATTGAACACAATTCCTTAAAAGGACCTAGTTGCATTTTATATTTTAAATGGAAGGCTTTTGTGACATGATCACTGAATAAAAGGCCTTCTGAAGTATAATTGCTTGTTTCTCTTCCTGTTGAGGTTGTATATTAACTGGAAAACATGCAAAAAAACAGTAGCAGTGGAGTCTTGACAGCTGGTTTTGTTGTTTTAATTTGCAGGTCTTGCAGAATGCAGTCTCTAGCTAGATTCTCTTTGAAGGCACTGGAATGTCGTACTGTACATTTTAATAAATAATCTGCCCAAGCTGGTGCATTGTGATAGAAAAGTGTTCATAATTCCAAGTTACTGCATCTTGTCTTTGTTTTTTTTTTTTTTTAAAAAAAAGGTAGTGCTGTGGGTAAAGGACACCGCATCCATGCATTCAATGGGGCTGACAGCTGGGGCAAGATCTTCTTGTGGGAGCTTGCAAGCTTTTAGCAGTTGTTGGGTTAAATCTTACTTTGGTGTCAGAAGAAATATCTCTGGTTTATGATCTGGTGTTGAATTTATGAACTCTTCAGTTTACTGGACTAGCTTAGGGAGTGTTAGAGCCTAGATATGCCTACTTCCACATCTTTAAAAAGAGAAGTTAGTTCGTAGGACTGCAAATATCATCAAGGACAAACATGATCTCCTGTGAAAAAGGTTCTTTTTGTTGCATGAGTCAGACACTTCCTGCTAATACAAACCAACCAGTTTATCTGCTGTGATGGTTTAGATACCATAGATACTGTAATACCTTTAGAAACCACCTGAGGTTTTAGTACCTCTTTTTGGTAGAACTTAATCTGTGTTAATGCAACAAAGTGTGATTTGATCCTCCTGGAATTGTCTTGTTTAAAGAGTGATTTCACAGTGGAAGCGTGAGGTTTCTTGGGAGGACACCCAGCCCGCTGAGCAGGGAGAAGGGGGAGCTGGTGTGCTTTGGCAGGTAGACTGTACCTGGTGGGGATGGCGCTCTCTCCCTCTCTCCTCTACAGGCCCAACGTGCACCAGGTGAACTCTGAGCTGTGTGGAGAAAGATCATCTACCTCTCCCTTGCTGTCACCTAAGTCAAGAAATTGTTTTTTTAACTCTAGTGTTTGATTGCTACTCTAGGAGAAGGTCTTCTGGCATGCTGCTGGCAAGTGTCTGATTTGCAAGTTTGAAGTACCCTGTCAAGCTGGTAAAATGACAAACTCTTACCAGCCTGCCTGTGTGCAGTGCCTTTGTGTTCTTAGACCACCATAGCATACACCAGGACTATTGCTAATCTCACTGCTGAGTCAAAGTAACGAGTGATGAAAGGAATATTATGTTTGTGATGGAAGCATGTACTATTACTCTTTTTGCATCTGATTTTTTTTTTTTTTTGTCCAAAATCATTGACCCCTCACATGAAGGCGGAGTGCAGAAGGAAGAATGCTATACAGACTCTGCTGATCACTTCCTTTAAAGTCTATAGATGGAACTGTTCTATTTTCAAATGGTGGTTATCTATGTGCATAAGTATTTTATTACCTGTGATAAAGTAAACTATTATAAAAGACTTCTTGCTCTAAGCGTCAGTTGAAGCTAATATTAAATCCTAGCCGTTTACTTGAAATTGATGCCATTTTGCCAGGAGGGGAAAAAAAAAAATAGAGAAGTCTAGAATATGAGTTACATCTTTTTCTGGTTTCTCTGACACTGTTTTTCTTAAGCCTTGGTGAAGAGAGGGAGAAATCATAAGCTGTATTCAGTCCCTTAGCTGTCATGGGCTTCTATATCTGGAATACTTGATGCATAAACCCGCTGTGGCTTTCCCAGGCCTCGCTGCTGAAGAGCAGGGCTCTGCCTTCTGCCCTCTTAAGGGAGCTGGGATAGAGCCTGGCCGGGGAGAGCTGGATTCTCGCTCTGCTGACAGCTCACAGTGGTTATGTAGATGTTGTGACGAAGGGATAAGGCTGGTTGATCAAGTGAACCCTGCAGCCACTCTGTCGAGTAACTGGTAGAGGTGGGAGTTCCACCCCATTTTTATCTCTAGATTGGATTCTCAGTGGTTATGAAATTTAGTTAATTATTTTTTTTAGATTATCTTTTCTTACATCCTGTCTCAAGAATACAGATGCCCGTTATGCTGAGAAAGTGCATGGATGCCGCATGGGCATGCCTTAGTTAAGAGATTTAATACTTCTGAAGTCCTATTGAGAGGTATGTCCCATTCCCCAAGAAAGCTTTCAAAAGTGAAAGTATAGTTTAAAAAAACCCAAAAAACTGAAGCAACCAAATCCCAGAACTCCAAAGCAAAAAAATGCATGAACAAAACCTCACATCCAAAATGTACTCTTGGGCCGTAGAAAATCTCCATTTCTGTTGTTCATTCTAGCACTTAGTGTGCTGCATTAGTCAATCAGACATTGCATGTCTTTATTGCAATGCTCCTTCATGTTTAAGCTTTATTTCAACTGTATATCTATGATTTATTTGGACTTCCTTTTGGAAGTTACAACAAAACTGCAAATTTAGGTAGTTTGGGGAAGTTGAATTTTTCATCATGTTGTCATCTCAATACGGAAATGTTAACTATATAGAAAAATTTTCATAAAATTTTAACTTTGAATAAATTTGGTAATATTCTTTTTCTGCTTTAAACTCCTTTTGTGAGGCTTATTCTATTTGTACTAGTATAGATGATACTTTGGGACAGGACCATGCCTGTATTACTTAAGTATTAGAAGGTTTTGCTCTTGTGGTTTGGTTTTCTTAAATATTCTGAAATTTTACTTGCTCATATGACTTAAAGCGGGTTCTAGTCTGAGTTCTCTGCTTAAATGCAGAAACTTTGCCGTGTGTTTTTGCAGAGGAGAGCCTGCAAACATTCAAGTGGAATCGGTGCAAGACTAGAGAAATCCCGTCATGTTAGTGGTTATAAAAGTTCTTTCCTTGCTGGTGGATACTCCAGTGTTGATTGGAAGATTTTAAGTAATGATTTATTGCTGTTTTGCTTTTGAAAATTCGTTGTAGCCTCCAGATACCCTAAACCACTGATACCACTTGAGCAGCCAGCGAAGGAGGTAGTGTCACCAGAGACGACCAGTACTTTTGGTACAGTAAAAAAAATAAACAACAACAAACAAAAAAGTGTGTTTGCTAAGATGTGGCATTGCATAAGGCCAGCAGGCTGCTGGTTTGACGGACTTTCCGCTTGCTTGTTTTGGTGCGGTTGGCATGTATTGCTACAAGAAATAAAAGTATGTGGGTTTTGTTTGTTTATGTTAATATAAAGCCTTCAGTCTCAAGAATTTCAGTGATCCCTGTAGTACTTGGTGGACTTATTCTTAATGTGACTGAAGAAGTGTTTCAGGTCCTGGTCTGGTGGAAACTCTCCTGAGCTAATATCGACCGGAGATTTCAGGCTGTGAAACAGCTTCATTTACTTGAAGAAGCTCAGCATCATCTACCTTATGCCTTTTCCTAGGAAAGTGTTGTGCATTGAATTACGTGGTCCAAACAT